TACCAAGCATGATGTCCTTCTCCAGGGACTGCTCTCTCCTGAAAACATGTCCAAAATAAGTGAGACAGTCTTGCCATCTTTGCCTCTAAGTAGTACTCTGGCTATACTTTTTGGATGACTGATTTGTTTTTCCTTTTAGAAGTTCAAAGTACTGTACTTTCAATATTCTTCCCAGTACTGCAATTCAAATGCATTGATTCTTCAGTTTTCCTTATTCGATGTCCAAGTTTCACATGCATATGAAGCCATGGAGAATACCATGGTTTGGCTCTGGTTCACTTTAGTCCTCAAAGTAAAATCCTTGCTCTTCAATACTCGAAAGAGGTCTTTGTGCGGCAGATTTCTACAGTGCAACACTTCTTTTGATCTCTTGACTGCTGTTCCCATGAGACGTTCTTGTGATCCAAGCCATACAAAATCTCTGACAATTTCAAACTTTCCTCTATTTATCATGATGTTATTTATCTCTTGGTCCGGTTGTGAGGATTTGGGTCTTCTTTACACTGAGTTGTAATCCATACTGAAGGCTGCAATCCTGGATCTTCATCAGCAAGTGCTACATATCCTGCGAACTTTCATCAAACAAGATGGTGTCATCTCCATATGGTAGGTAGTTAATAAGGCTTCCTCCAACCCTGCTGCCCTATTCATCTTCATTAGTCCAGTTTCTCTGATGATTTACTCAGCATGCAGATTGAATCAGTATGGTGAGAGCATACAACTCTGATGCACAGCCTTCCTGATTTTAAATCATGTAGTATTTATTCCTTTGTTCTGTTTGCCCAATTGTCTCTTGATCGATGTACAGGTTTTGCATGAGCATAAGTAAGCATTCTGGAACTCCTATTTTTCTCAAGGTTATCTGTAGTTTGTTATGATCCACAGAGTAGAATGTACTGCCACAGTCAATAAACAAAACAAAACAAAAACAAAACCAGTAAACATCTTTCTGGTTTTCTCTGTTTTCAGCCATGATCCATTTGACATCAAGAATGATATCCGTTTTTCCATGTCCTCTTCTGAATCCACCCTAAACCTCTGACAGTTGTCAATGCAATGCTGCAACTTGTACTTGGATGATTGTCAGCAATATTTTACTGGCATCTGATATCAGTGATATTGTTCTGTAATTTGAGCATTCTGTTGGATCACCTTTCTTTGGGAATGGGTACAAATATGTATTTCCCTAGTCTGCTGGCTGTCCAAATTCCCTGGCATAGAGAAGCAAATGCTTCCAGTGCTTTACCAGCTTGTTGAAACACTTCAATGGGAATTCCATAAATTTCTGGAGCCTTATTTTAAGCCAAGGCTTTTTCATGCAGCTTGGACTTTTTCCTTCAGGATCATTGGTTCTTGTTCATGTTACCTCCTAAAGTGTTGGAACACTGACTATTTTTAGTATAGTGACTGCATTCTTTGCATCTTGTTTTGATGCTCCCTGCATCATTCAATATTGTGCCCATAGAATCTTTCAATATTGCAACTCTAGGCTTGAATTTTTTTCGTGAGTTCTTTCAGTTTAAGATAGGCTGCTTGTGTTCTTTCTTTTTTGGTTTTCTAACTCTAGGCCTTTATGCATTTCATGATAATGTTTGTCTTTGTCTCCTCTAGCTGCCCTTCAAAATTTTCTGTTCAGCTCTTTGACTTCATTTCTTCCATTTGCCTTAGCTATTCTACCATTAAACGCAAGTTGCACGTGTCTTCTGAATCCACTTTAATCATTTTCTTTCTTGTCTTCTTAATCACCTTTCGCTTTCAAAATGAATAATATTCTTGATGTCTCCCAACAGCTTATCAAGTCTTCTGTCGATTGTGTTCAATGCATCAAATGTGCTCCTGAGATATTCATGTGGGATATATTCAAAGTCTTATTTTGGCTCTTGTGGACTTGGCTTATTTTTTTCAACTTAAGCCTGAACTTACAGATAAGCAGTCAGACCTGGCCTGGTTTTAGCTGCCAATATTGAGCTTCTCCATTTTTCTTCCCACAGATGTAGACAATGGATTTCTATGTATTCCATCTGGACAAATCCACGTGTCTAGTCAATGTTTGTTATGTATAAAAAGATATATAGTAAGCGCTATGCACAAATCATTGGTCTTGCAAAATGAGATTTCCAGCTTTGCTTCTATCACTCGGGTCATATTTTTTAACTGCTGTTCCAGCCTTTTTGTTTCCAACTTTTGCATTCCAATCTCCAATAATTTCCAATGCTTCTAGATTGTGTGCTTGATTAATTTCTGACTGAAGTTGTTGGTAGAATTCTTCAATTTCCTCAACATTAGCTTTTGTCGTTGATGCATAGATTTGAATGATAGTTGTATAGACTGCATTTCCTTGCATTCGGACAGATAGTATGCTATCAGACGATGCCATTCTTGAATCTGTCATTCCAGGCAGAGTAAACCATATGACTCTCTGATTCCAAAAGCTCAATGCCAGTCCCTTTCAGCTCACAAATACCTAGATAACAATCCTTATGCATTTCATTTCACTTTTGATAACTTCCAATGTTCTTAGGGTGATATTAATGGTACTATTCAATAACTTTCACATTTCATTTAATCCCATTTCTTTATAATTGACAGAAATATGGATCTCTTTAATCAGTTGGCCAAGCTGTTATCCAAAATTCTTAGCATAGATAAATAAGAACTGGCAGAATAGTATCCATTTATTAAAGTATTTTGACTAATAATCCATCAATTCTGAAGCCTTGTTTGTTTTGGGTGATGGTGGTGTTTGGTTCTTATTGTTTGTTTTGCCAATATTGTTAGTGCAACTTGAATTTCTTCCTTCAGGGCCGGTGACTCTTGCCTATATGTTACCTCCTGAAATTGTGGAATGTTGACTGCCTCATGAAAATAGTTGATTGTTCATTTCTTTCCATACAACAACCCTGCGTATTCCTTCCTTTTGTTTTTATGTTCTCCGTATCATTCCGGTTATTTGTCCATAGGATACTTCAGTATTGAAATCCAAGGCTTGACATTTTCTTTCAGCTTGAGAGATTCTGATCACGTTCTTGCCTTTTAGTCATCTAACCATGGTCTTTGCACATTTCGCTTGACTTCACCTGTGTTCTTGGCTGTCCTTGACAATCTCCCATTCTTTTACTTGACCAGTTCTTTTGTGTTCTTTAGCTGCCCTCACTCTGGAGCAAATTGCAGTCTCTGACATCTAGTTTAGTCCTTTTGCCTTTCCTTTTAAATGACTTTTTACTTTTTCATATATGATGCCATTTTTTCTGGTTCTTCATCAAATCTATCGTTGGGATGGTTTCTAAATTCAGGAGGGATGCATTCAAGGCTGTCCTGCGGCTTTCATACTTAATGATGTAATATCACTGAGTACCATTGAGTCGGTTTTAACTTATAGCAACTCTATGTACATCAGAACTAAACATTGCCTGGTTCTGCATAACCCAACTATGCTGCAGCCAATTATTGCAGCAACTACGCCAATCTATCACATCAACAAGCACCTCTTACCCAGTAATGCTTTGTGTGCCTTCCAACCTGAGGGTTTGTCTTCTCACACTGTATCAGACAATATTCCATGGCTAATCATGCTAATTTCTGTCAGAAGTAGATAGCCAGCTCCTCCTTCCTAGTCTGTCTTAATTTGGAAACGCCACTGAAACCTGTCTACCAAGGATGACCCTGCTGGTATTTGAAATGTACTATGTGGTATAGAATTCAGAACCACATAAAATGCACACCATCACAGCATAACCATCTTCCAAATAAGTAATCATGATACTATATTTTTTTAAATGAACATAGAAAATTATAATGTTAATTCTGAATGAAACTGGATGTCTGTCTCACCACTTTGATTCAACATCGAGCAGCTGTCTCTACAGGGCAATTAAGAAAGAAATTCACAAAATCAAAAACAAAACTCACTGCTATTGGATCAATTCCAACTCATGGAGATCGTAGAGGACAGGGTCGATAGAACCTTCATATGGGCTTCTGAGACTGTAACTCTTTACCAGAATAGAAAGCCCCAGCTCTCCTTCCATGGAGAAGCCGGTGTTTTCAAACTGCTGATCTTGCAGTTAGCAACCCAGTGTGTAACCACTACACCCCCAAAGATCCCCACAAGAAATGTATAGGAATTAGAAAAGAAAAATATATATTAGTAGCAAATGCTTTGGATGTGTCCATTAGAAATAAAATACATAAACACAAACTATTTTCAAGTGCATATATACAGTTATTAAAATTTATAAAAATAATTCAGCACATCGAATACACAAAACTCAATTATAGTTCTGTCATCAATATACAATAACAAATTATACTTCAAAAAAGTGATACCATTTATGGAATATAAAACAAATATAGGTACCAGTAAAACCAACAATGTATTTGCAATGCATCTAAGCCAACAAGTATTAAACAGTATTAACTAAAAATAAAGAAGACTCAGATAAATGAAGGCTTTGAACTAAATGGATAAATAAAGGGATAGGCCAAATTTATAATTTAAGTTTTCACCACCACCTACTAGAGATAAATTCTGCATGGCATAAAACAATGGTTTTGACTCATACTGACCCTAAAAGACAGGGTAGAACTGCCCCTGTGAGTTTCTGAGATTGTAATTCTTTGTGGGAATAGAAAGCCTCTTCTTTCTCTTGAGAAGTGGCTGGTAGTTTCAAATTTCTGACCTTTCTGTTAGCAGTCCAACACCTAATCATGATTCCCCCAGCGGTCCCAACAATAATGGTTAGTCATCAATAAACATATTACTATTTATATGGTTACTTAATTACCATGCATTCAGTTCAGGAAGACCACCCCTAGGAATTCAGTGGTCATGGGTTTGTTTGTTTTTTAGCAAGTCACTTGTTACATTCTAAATAGTTGTCTCAATTTAGCTTAATAGTCCGTCTTACCCACCATTGTTTTCTGCATATTGTTTTCTTAGACCTTACTCATGATGTCAATGTCCTACCTCTGTCTCTTTTTTTTTCTTCTGTCATTCACAGTTTCTCAGAGGAACATTTCTTTTAATGATGCTAACATTACAAAGTATTTGATTGCGATGGGTATACTAGGCGCTGCTTCCTTCCTGTTAATTTTCATCTATGAGACTTGCTTCTGGAAATTAAAAACATGTATCAATCGATATATATTCTTTGGTATCTTCAAAAAAATGAATCAGGTGAGTAATTAAGCATGAACCGTAAGAAAATCTAAGAGAATTGAGAATTAGTCCTGAAAAGTATGTGTCTACATAATTACCGCTTTTTCTGAGAAAACGCCAAACCTCAAAAAAAAAAAACAAAAACACAACAACAACCAAAACCCAACCATTGATTTTATTATGACTCATAGATGCCCATCTAAGGTTTCTGAAGCTAATCTTTACAGGTACTGAAAAGCTCATTTTTGTCCAATGAATTTGAACCGCTGACCTTGTGATTAGCTATCCAACAATTAACCCACAGTGCCTTAGCTCTATTACTGGATGAAAAAAGAATCAAGACATGGCTGACGGGATGCATTTTAATAAATACACTTTATCGAAGTAGAATGTACCTACAATAAACTGTATGCCTTTTGCTGATCATTTCAAAGTTCCAACCTTTGTCTTTATTAATGTTCTCTACTATAGTGTTCTTTTTTGATTCATTTCTAGCTTATTTATATAATGGGATGCCTTCAGACGTTGCTTCTGGAGTGCTCATCTTTTCTAATCTTAGAATTTCATTGAAGTGAAACATTTAGTAGAGGTCCAATCAGAGCCCTTCTACTTTACCAAACATGATAGATACCCTTTTTTCATGACTGACTGGTCTCTTCTGATAATGTGTCTCAAAGTATGTAAGACAAAGACTCACCATCTTTGTTCCTAAGGAACATTGTGGCTGGCGTGTTTGTTTTTCTGAAAGCCTATATTATTTGCCAACAACATCATTCAAATGCATCAGTTCTTTGTCTTCCTTTTTCATTGTCCAACTTTCATGGGCAAGTGAACAATAGTTTGTTGGTTCTGTTGATCTTTACAAAGAACCAACTTTTGCTTTTATTGCTTTTCTATTTTTACTATAATCGTTTGCCTGCTCTAATGAAAATGCCATGGTGGGTGTCAGGGGCACTTTAGTTCTCAAAGTGACATCTGTCAAGAGGTCTTTTGCAGCACATTTGCACCAATTCTTCATTGTCACATATCACAGACCGATTTAGATTTTATATTTATTCTTTAGTCTTTAAGTAGTTTGTTTTTCTTTCAGAATTGTTTCTATCTGAACTGAGGTATCTAATGAATAGGCATGGAATTACTCATAGGTTTTCTTTCACACTCTTGATTTTTGTACAGTCAACAGTCCGGATTTGAGCAATTTGAGGGCATGCGCTCTTCTTGTCTTTGTCCTTCCAGCAGTGGTTGGTCAATTCTGTAGAACTTTAGAAAGACCCAATTTTTGGTTTTATTGATTTTCTATTTTATTATTTGCCGCATGAATGTTACTGCATTTTGTTTGCATGGGATTGAGTTTGCTGTTCTTCATGGAGTGTCTTCAGGTGGAATATTGCGTTGTTTGTTTTGAGATCTTTCTCCTTTTAAATATAGGTGTTTAGAGCTGCATCGTTCACTCTAGGCATTGATTTCTGCTGTGTCCCTAATTTATGTCGAGTCTTCATTTCCATTCTTCTCATTTTTAATTTCCTCTTTTGTTTATTTTTGTCCCATTTTTAAATGGTTTGATTTTTCCATATTTGTGTGTTCACCACATTTCTTGGTTTTATAGTTGTAACATATTTATAAATATTATATCTTTTGATGATTGACTCTTTAGCATTATAAAATGTCCATTTTAAACTATAATAGTACTTTATTTTGCTTAAAAGTCTATTTATTTAGTGAAGAGGCTTCCATTTTTATGTCATTGCTGTTTACATGATATCTCTTTATTCCATCTATTTATTTTCAGTCTTTACATATCTTTGAGTCTAAAGCGATTACAAATCCCTCATGTAAGCCATATACTTGGATATTTTTAAAATCAATCTGACATTTTTGTCTATTGACTGCATTGTTTAACCCATTCATATTTAATGTTTATATTGATATTTTTTATATATATTTTTCCCTTTACTTTTTTCTGTTTTGTGTTTCTCCCCCTCTAGTTCTGCTTCACTGATTACTTTTGCATTAACTGAATATTTTATAATGTAATGTTTTAGTACCTTTTATAATTTGTCAGTATATGTATTTATTTCCTTAATAGTTGCTCTAGACTCTAGAGCTAGAGTCTAGAGTTTACTATATATATTTTATCAGAATTTACATATGTATTCTAACTTAATTCCTATGAGAGATAGAAAAGTTAAAACTGTATCTGTTCTCTTTTCCCTTTTGTGATATTGTTTTTATAATTATTGCCTTATATACGGTTTTGTTATTTAAAGAAGCTATGAGAAGAAAGGAGAATAAGTATGTATTCACAGTCTTATTGACTGCTACTAGTTCTTCATTTGTTCCTGTGGATTTGAGTTAGTATCTAGGAGTACTGTCGTTTACTTGTTCTACACATCTACAAGAATTGCCACTCACATATTCTAATACAGCTTTTCTCTTAATGTGGTTTTCAATGGCAAATATATTACATTTTGTGTATAGCTACAGTGATAACTTAATGGATGGTAATCAGCATAAAGCCAATTCCTATGAGGTGGAGATCTATCACATACTCCATTTCCACATCTCCCTTTTTCTGACACTAGCCACCCCATCCCCACCTCTCTCTCTCTCTCTCTCTCTCTCTCTCTCTCATTCTTTATGTCCCTTTCTCCCACTTCCCCTTCCAACCTCCTTTCTTCCCCTCTTTGGTTTTTAGCATGTTCACCATGCTATGTCACTACATTATCGTTTGGTGTTTATCCTAACTAGTGTTCATTGAGCTACTTGAAGATAGAGATTTCAACTTGTACACTTATAAGTAGAGGATACGTAATCCAAAAGAAAGGAGAAAAGTGAATGGAACCTCAGAGAAATGTGGGACACTAAGTGCAATAACACGTGTACAGTGGGACTGCTGAAGAGGACAGGGCAGGTAATCCTGGGGGGAGATAGTGCCTCCACTATAGGTGTACTAATTAAAACCTGTCGTTGAGGTCCTATAGAAGCCCTGGGGATGGAGAGGCTGGACTTTCTATTTCCACTCTGGTAACGAGCAGTGTCCAGAAGCCGCGGGGGCAACTATGCCCTGTGCTACAGGGTGGCGCTGAGTTGGCATCGACTTGATAGCAGTGAGTTTGGTCTGGGGGGATTGAGGTGCTCTCGTGAAATTTTCGTTCCAATCATTCTTTTCCCTTCAAGAATTTCCATTTGATATAGTTTTTAATGTCTATAACAATGCTTTCTATTGGATGCAACCTTGTCATCACACCTCTCTTCTTTAAGCCTGGATTCCTTCAGGTCTTTGAATATATTTATAGTGATTACTTTGAAACCTTTGTCTGGTCGCTCACATACAGTTTCTATTTCTTTTTCCTCCCTATAGGTAAAATTTCTTTGCTTTGCTTGTCTCTTCATTTTCTGTTTCCAAAATCTGAACACTGTAGAGGCTTAACAGATGTTTTAAGAATAAATATGTTCTATATGATGTGTGGCCCTGAGACCATTTGCAGAAATCATTACAATCGTCACCAGTTCTGCAGAGGCAAAGATCTAAGAATCTCCTCACACTGGCATTCTGGAAGGATGATATCTTCCACTTTTTCTCTCTCCCCTATAAAAAAAATAGTTAAGCCTTCCTTAATCTTTTGTTATCTTGAATGGACTGTGATGATACCAAGTCATATTTGATTCTAATAATCTCAGTTGTGGCTTCAGTTTTTAAGGAAGTGTCCAATTCAGGGGAAAACAAGCTATGTAATCCTAATTTCTTAAATTGTGGCAAGCAAAGAATAATGTGCTTTGAAGTAATTAAACCAAAAAATATATTTAAATTGTTCCAACTTCCATTACAAATGTCTTAAGATCACCTTCCTAAAGTCGTTTAGTCTAATTGAGATACTAAGAGCATTCATATCTATTATTTTTCTAGCAAATATAGGCTATAGTGTTCATTGTGTTTCTTGGAAAAATTTCTGTGAAGATTTGCTAATTTTCTTCGCATCCATTCCCTTTTAGAATGATAAGTGGTATTGATAATGTATTGTGGATAGTGAATTTTCAAAAGTCATTTTGATTATAAACTCACGAATGTATTTTTGAGAGCTTTCATGCCCCCCTGAGATGACTTCCTTCTTAAAGACTCAGGTCAAGCAAATAATTTCTCTGCATGCTTTACCATCTATTTTTTAAAATTTAAGTACAAATCTTAATATATTAATTCATATTTTTTATTCTATATGGAGTGTCCGTTTCCTCTTTTCTGTACCAATGCCTTATTCGACTAATAAAACATTAATTCTTCAAGACTCAGTCACCTTTGTTTAGGAGATTTGTCGTGAGAATACAGGAAGTCTCATAGAAATGATTTAAATCTTTTGTTTTAATATTGAGATTATCCCCTAGTATAACTTTCCGAAAGTCACCTATTCTAGAACAAATCCTGAATAATATCCATTGCTATGATTCTTGTCTTGAAATATAGGATATAGTTTCCAAGGAATTAGCTGGGGACTCTGAAGATGAAGATGTGGAAAGGGAAAGGAAAAGAGTCCTCGAAATGCCTCTTGAATTACAAAACGACACAGTAGTAATTAAGGAACTTGTAAAGGTAATGCCATTCAGTGATCAGCATTGTGCTGGATCCACCCCTACTTAGGAATAGATCTTTGGCTTCAAGAGATCACTGTACTCATTGGGATCCATGTGTGGTCACATAAGGGGACTTCGGAGAGTGGGTGGGGTTAATGAGACTCAAAGACAATGACTTTTTTGATGAACTTCTTAAAGACTCCTCATAATAGAATCTTTTGTGAAATAGTCCAAGTTAGAGCATAGAGGGCTCCAGATACTGATTGATTGTGTACTGTAGGCATTATTCACTATAGTGTGTTTTCTGGATTTTTAGATATATTTTAAGATTCCAGCCATTTTGGCTGTGAAAAACATCTCCCTTACAATACAAAAAGGGGAGTGCTTTGGATTACTTGGATTCAATGGAGCAGGGAAAACCTCAACTTTTCAAATGATGACTGGAGAAAAGCCTGCTACTTCTGGGGATATGTTCATCGAAGGCTTTAGCATCACTCAAAATATTCTAAAGGTAAGACACTTCATTGTCTACCGTTTAAGAAGCTGGATCATTTGGGAGGTGCAGGTAAAAGGCAAAAGGCTGGAGATAAACAAGAAACTGAGGAGGCATTATTATTAATACTGTTGATTCTATCAATGACTTTTAAAGTGAGAAAAATTTTTTTGACTGTTCGAATACCTTTTTATTTTATGTATTTATTTTTAAATCATTTTGTTGGGGTCTTTTACAGCTCTTATCACAAGGCATACATCCATCAAGCACATTTGTCCATAGGTTGCCATCATCAATTTCAAAACATTTTTTAAGGAGATGATAAGAACATCCTTACCATGAATATCTAGGATGAGAGTGTCTTTTGTGTTCTTTGAAACTGTTGGTGTAAATCAAGTTCTCTCATCAGTCCATATGCCAGACAAGATGATATAAGGATGTTGTGTTAGTCTGGGTAAACTAGGGAAACAAATCCACAGAAACTCATATGTATATAAGAGAGAGTTTTATATGAAGGGTAAGTGGACATTAAGAAAGCATCCCAATGCAGTGCTGTCCAAGTGCTTAAGTCCAACATTATCCCATATGTCTGACACCGATCTACAAAGTCCTCCTCAATCTCACAAAACACACACAATGATGCCGACTGCAGGAGGAAAGCTGAATCAGTGTACATGTAAGCATCTTAGTGCTGGCAGGGGTCTCCACATGGCTGCTCTAGCACCCAGGGATTCATCAGGCTTGGTCCATGTGGCTTCTCCTTGGGGATGTCTTGCAGGAAGTGAGCCTTGCCAGCTGAAGCAGGGAACTGGCTAAGGCAACCACACACTGGTCCAACCATTAGAGAGCAAGAGACCCAAGAACTAGAAAGGCGAGGCTCACCGAGCCACTTATCTCTCTGCCCTTCAATGACTCCCACATGTGTTTATCGGCCAGGTTGGCACAATAAACCTTAACTGTCTCAGATGTGAAGAAGACAAGGTTTGTCAAGAGAATATGATACCAGGAACCAGGACTTTAAACCAGTTTATTCTCTTCAGTGACAGTTTGCATTTCCATTTCGGAGATACTGAATTAGAATCTAGATTTTAACAAGATCCCCAGATTGTTGTTATAGGTCTCCAGGTAAGTCATTGACACAAGAATAATCTGGCAGTCCTGTAAAAATGTAGATTCTGATTCAGTATCTGAAATGGAAATGCAAATGCTCAGCAGGATGTGGAACTAGAATGAATCTTTTGGATGTCCTAGTTGCACGTGAGCTCTTCATTCATCTTATGGGGTTAATGATGAGCAGGACGGCACTCCAGGGTACTTCTGACATTGAAGCTAAGTGAGCAGGTCTTGTATCCGCATGCCAGTCTGTCATGGCTGAGATTGCCACTTGGCAGGGTTGTGTAACCTTGGTACAAAGCTAACTAAAGAGAATAATTTCAACCAAATGTGCCAAATACCAGGAATCCTAAGGCAAGGTAAAGCCTATATGGCATCTATTAGAACTTTCTTAATGAGATTAGAAAGATTAGTTGCACTGAGATCAGGTAGGGGAGGATAGGACTAAGGATGACTTATGTGCAAGAAACCAGATTGAAACCAAGAGTTTGGGTTATACTTTGCAGAAAGTTAGCTAAGAAACAAAGAGGAAATTTAGAATTCATGCAGAGATGGGTGGGAGAATAGTTTTATAAGTTGATCAACTCAAGTATAATTATAATAGTGAAAATAGAGTAGAAAGGGAGAAGTTGAAGATATAGAGGGAAAAGGCAACTTGTGGAGAGAAATGGGAGGATGAGGTCTCCCCTAAATACCACTATCCATAACCAAACCCAAACCTATTGCTGTCGAGTCAATTCTGATTCATAGTTGCCTAAAGATAGGACAGAACTGTCTTCTTCGTGAAAGTTATCTGAATTGGTTTTCCCTGTAGGTGTATTGATATTATTCTACTATAAACAGCATTGTACTTCAAGATCCAGCTTGAAGTCTGCGTTTGAGTATCGACAAGTTCTTTTTTTTTAATCATTTTATTGGGGGCTCATACAACTCTTATCACAATCTGTACATACATACATTGTGTCAAGCACATTTGTACATTTGTTGCCATCCTCTTTCTCAAAACATTTGCTTTCTACTTGAGCCCTTGGTATCAGCTCCTCATTTTTCCCCTCCCTTCCTGCCACTCCCTCCCTCATGAACCCTTGATAATTTATAAATTATTATTATTTCGTCATGTCTTAAAAAAAAAAAAAAAGATCCAGCTTGAAATAGTCTTTTTTTTGGGGGGGGGTGATGAATAGTATATCACTCTCTTTGAATTTGTCTTTCCTGGCATAGTAAACTATATGATTGACTGAAAATGATACCAATACCAGTCCATTTCAACTCACTAATGCTAGGATATCTACCTTTATACTTTCCATCTAATTTTGGCCATAGAATCCTTCAATATTGCAAGCTGATGTTTGAGGTTTTTCTTTAGTAATTTTTTAGAATGGCTTAGGTAATATAAATGTGCATAGTGGTGATATAAAACAGTCCTCTGATTATTAGGAGTCATAATAAAGGATCAATTGAAGAGAGTGTCAAGGAGCAAGGCAAAAGTAGAAGCTGAACTGATCATTAATATTAAGGCTCAAATTTTAAAACTGGTCAGAGAAATAAATGGCTCAGTGAGCCTCACCTTTCTAGGTCTCAGGTCTCTTGCTTTGTGATGGTCAGACCAGGGTGCAGCTGCCTTAGCCAGTTCCCTGCTTCAGCTGGCAAGGCTCACTTCCTGCAAGACATCCCCAAGGAGAAGCCACAGAGACCTACCCCGATGCAGCCCTGGGTGCTGTTAGCACTGAGATGCTTATACGTTCACTGATTCGGCTTTCCTCATGAAGTTGGCATCATCGCTGTGTGTGTTTTGTGAGATGGACTTTGTGGATTGGTGTCGGCCATATGGACTATTGTGGACTTGTGGGCTTGGGCAGCACTAGGTTGGGATGTTTTCTTGATGCGCACTTAACCTTTATATAAAACTTTCTCATGCATGAGTTTCTGTGGATTTGTTTCTCTAAAGTATCCAGACTAATACACTGACTATTGAATGGGTAAGGGTAGGGTTGGCTATTCTTCTGGTCACCAGTAAGGTTTAGAGAACAATGGGAGCATCAAACCTTTCTAGTTACCAGACATAGGTGTTAGTGTTTGGATTGTCAGGCCACCGTCCCGATTGAATACTGTAAGAATTCGAGATGGCTGCACTGACAATTCACCTGTTTGTCTCTTCTCTTACCACTTTTGTTAAGCTTCTTCTAGTTGATATTCAATCCATTTCTCTATCCTTTCCTCTGAAGCTCAGGGTTCCAGGATTACCATCCTTATCTGTTTCATTTGGTCTCTCATGTCTTTGTTGTAGATTGTCTATGTAGCTAGTCTTCCTTGGCTATCTTGCTGGAAGTTCCCATATAACTCGTAAGCATTCATTTTTCTTTACCATTTTATCTTTCCCGATTTTTCCTCAAACAAATTGGTGTGAAGGAATTTGCCATCTGATTCACTCATCTAGACTCCCATTGATTCTGTTGTGCTTCTATGTTCTTCTATTGCATTGTCTATTTCTGAAGTTTTATTGTTAATATTTTGGAATGCAGGTTGCTGTTTTTGTATGTTCCTAATAGTCTACTTTGTCATTCTGTTCTTGTATTGTTTTCCTGAACTATCCAATTGGTTTGTCTGTGTTTTTACTGGTTTTATCTACATTAACCTTGATCTCTTTCTAGATCTCTCAGAGAAGCCTATATGTGAGTATTCAGAATTATTTATCAGATAGTCTCATTCTTCTTCCAGTAGATTTTATGGTTCTTCATTTTGATCGCCTGCTGGAGCCATCTTGTTCTGCTTCCTTATGTGGTTTGATATTTTCTGTTGTCTCTGAGGCATTAAAGTGTTACTATATTTATTTATTATGCTGATTTGCTCCATCCTGACTTCTGTTTTGTTTTGATATGCACAAACTTCTAGTTGCAGGGGAGGAAGCAGTGGAGATGGCAAGTCGGGTCTAGTGGGGGTGGGGGTGGAGATTGTATCACCAGTCCACAGGTACCTTAAAGGGGAATATGCCCCTGTCTACTAGAGTGCCAAGCAGAAAAGGGTGTGTCACCAGTCCTCGTGACCTCAAGCAGGTGCATGATGGGGCGAGGAACTGGGCTGCTAGCAGTATCTGGGCAGAACAGTCGATACCACCAGTGCAATAGCCCCACATATTGGTGGCTAGACATAGGGATAGGGGTTGCCTGTTATCAGGCCTTTGACATAGTTGACATAGCAGAATTGTGGAGGGATGCCAGCAGTCCTTGGGCTTCCAACACCAACCTCCATGTAGAGAAACAGACACATTTAATCAATAGGCCCCAGCCTATTGTCTGGATTTAGGAATTGGTACTACTGGGCCACAGGCCCCATGGTATGAGTGTGTGGGCTGAAGAAGGGGTGCCACCCCTGTATGAGTCCTCAGCATGACTGGCTGGACAGAGAAGTCAGTGCCTCCAGCATGGTTCAGTGAGTAGAAGAGGAGATGATATCATTTCATAGTCCCCTGGTGGGGTGGCCATAAAAAGCGGCTACTACCATTGATTCACAGTTCCCTGGTTTAAGAAACAGATCCAACTAGTGGGTGCAAGTCTGAGGATCCCCACTTTGGAGCAAGCAGTGGTGGGTGCCATCCAACCATGGTTGCGTGTTATGGTTGCGTGTTGGGGGCTGGGCATACCACAGCCTCTAGCCAAGTGTGGTTAGAGTTGCAGTGACCAGTGCAGAAGTTAGTACACTTAACATTCACAGGGTGGGGAACATTCTTGCCTAGCTCTGGACGTGGGTGCAGTCATTCCTGCTTGTCTGCACCAGGTGAAGGGGACATCAACTAGGAACACTCCTTTCATTGTCAATGTTGCTATGCTGTGGGGGGTTCACGGGTGGGGTGCTGGCCATCAGTAGTTCTCCATGTCCTCGGTTTTTGTAGCATCTTTCATTTCACTTGGAACTCAGTCTAATTCTTCCACCTTCCCTGTGTTCATCAAGATTCCAAAATTTTCATCTCCATAGCCTTCATTTGTTGGGGAAGGTTTACAGAGCAAATGCATTTACCACACGTTTTATTTTATGTCATTATTGCAATCCCTACAATGTAACATTATTTATCTTACTTCATGTGTTTCCAATTTCCATTCCCCCTCCTTATCTAACTCTGTCTACATTCTGAATTTTGTCTTTGGGCAAATGCTGCCTTTTTGATATCAGTTGGTTGATTATCGTAAGAAATATGTATCTCCCTAGTGGTGGTGTTCCCTTTATAGAATTATCTGTTTCTTTACTGAAATTTGAGTCACTGGGTTGAGTTTCATTCTTGACTTAAGGACCACAGGTCCACCAATATCAATCTGGCTCGCCAGAAAACCTGGACTTTTTTGATTCTGGGTTTTGTTCTGTTTTACTCTTGTTCTACTCTGTACCTTCTAAAGTGATCTCTTTCAGCGTGGTCAGCAGTTCTTTGGGACTCATGGTCATGGAGTCTAAGATTCATGTAGTCCGTGAGTCGTTTGGGCACATTGATTCAATGTATCTAGTTTTATTTGCTCATTTTTGCTCCAGATGGAACGATACCAAGAGCAGTATCGCACAAAGATATCTAGTCACAAGCTTTTAAGACCCCAATCACTAAAGTAGGATTTAGAACTTGAACTCTGTGGACTACACTGTGCCAATTGACTGGTATTCCCCAACACTTTTGGTCCCCAGACCCAGAGACTCATTATCTCAAAATGTTTGATGATGTCTAAGAAGTTTTCATGCCCTCTCTGTGTTCTCTGGCATTCATGGATATATTTGCCACATATATAGAAAGAGCTTCCATGCAACATATGTTTTTGAGTATAAACCCATTCTCCTTCCCACACTTAAACAGATTTGTGTGTCAATCTATGAATCCACTCCTATGTTTAGAAATAATTACTTTTGTTATTGACTTTAACAAATAACAATTTATTTTCTCGGTTTAGGAGACTAGAAGTCTGAACTCAGTGTGCCAGCTCAGGAGGAATCCTTCTTCCGCTGGCAGCTCTTTTCAGCACCTGTTCCTTGGTTCCTTGATGATCTTCATGTGGCAGGGTGTTAATTTCCCATGATCTGTGCTGCCTTGCTTTTGGGCATGTTTCCTGTTTGTACAGTAAGATGTGTGAAAGCTGGAACCTTCAGTTGCACAGAGATTTTTAAATCCTGACAAAGAAAAGACAATTAATTTCTAAATACTGGATTAAAAATGTATGAAGTTATATTAATTCTAATTGTTTATCTGTAAATTACATTTACACTTATACAATCATGAATGCTGCAAGTATTGAGGGTCTATTTTCCTTTCCAAGGTTTTTGTTTTTTATTCCTGCCTTATTTGAACAGTCAGAATCTCTACTAAGCATTGAGTGGAAATGCCAATTGTGGACATTTTACTTCTGAATCCAAGAGGAAACCTTTTTCTTATTCAGATTTTTTTTTATTCTATAATGATCTTCTTGTTGCCCTCATTCTTGAAAGATGTTTTCATTATATATAGAATCTGAGTTTTGCAATCATTTCTTTTAGCATATTGAAGGTGTTTCACTAATATCTATATTCCATCATTGCCTTTGAAATGCCAACTATCAGTATGGTATGCCTATTCTTTTTATAGAAAATCATTCTTTATTCCAGAGCTTCGTTTTACAAATTTCTCTGAAACTTTCCTAAGCTTAAATATAAGGTAGTTAGATATGGATCTTCAAATATATATATCCTGCTTGTAGTTGGCAGAGTCAGTTACACATTGGGCTGCTAACCATAGGATTGGAAGTTCAAACCTACCAGCCTCTCAGGAAAAGGTAACGCTTTCTGCTCCAGTAAAGATTTACACGCTGGGAAGGTAGTCTACTGTTCCCTTAAAGGATCACTATGAGTCAGCATCAACTCCATGGCAGTGAGTTTTTTGGTACAGTTCGTTGATGTGGTAGTTATATATATATATAAATTGTCAATTTCAGAGGATTATGAGTTGAAGGGCTGGAGTCTAGTCTGTCAATTGGATCATAACCAATGAGGCTTCTGCGTGGGCATGGCCTTCTCCTGAGAATTCTGGGAAATCTGGAGTTTTTTCCTCCTTGGAGGTGGGAGACTCTCTGCTCATACTCTGGGAGACAGAGCAGCTGACAAGACACATGGACCCACTCTGATGCAGAGACCCCTGCCAGCGCTGAGATGTTTCCAATGACACTGGATCCAAAGACTTTCTACCCACTGGCCTGTGATCTTCTACATTTGACATCCTTGCATGTGTTTCCTGAGTCTGAAGAGGACTTCATAGATTGGTATTGGACATATGGGCTAATATCGGACTTACGGACTTGTACTGGACTGAGTTGGGATGCTTTCTCAATGTTCAATTGGTCTTGTATGTTAATCTCTTTCTTATACACATATGTGTGTCCATGGATTTGTTTCTCTGGTCTACCCAGACTAACACAGTTGACATTTGAATTTCTCAATTGGTTCTAATTTTCCCTTACTGCCTCTTCAAGTATTTTCTCCTTCCTTCTGTTTTATTCCTTCCTTCTTTCCTTTTTTTCTGCAACTCCAATTATCTTAAGGTCTGATCCCTTAATTTCATTCTTATCTCTCAATGTCACTTTCATAGTTTTTCTATTTTTATTCTTGTGTACTATATTCCAGGTATTTTCTTGTGAACTATTACAATTTGTTATTTCTTCCATTATTATTAGTCTTTCTTAAAACTCATTCACAGATTTAATAATATACATTGATTCATTTGTTTATTTATTTACAGATATTAATGTTTGGTTTATCTCCAAATATTTTTAAGCTTTAAAATTTTGCTTTAACATAGCATCTTTTCTACTAAGTCCAATACTTGAAGTCATTATAACTTTGTTTCGGATGAAGATTGTTTTTTCAGCGTCATTCGTGATGTTTTATTTCCTTAGTTATCTTTGCATGAAGCTCATTTACATTAAAACATAGGTAAGAATAATTTGATACCTAGGACAAAGAGGGAATTGGTGCTTACTTCTGTCAAGAGTCTAGGGGCATAAACCATTATGGATTACTATGTGTTAGTGAATTAAATTAAAGTCACAGCCTTTTCTGTGGATACCTAAACAATGTGCATCTGAATATACATCTATATAGGCCTGGGATAATTACCAAATAATATTCCTTTTAGTTCCTTGGGAGCAGACATAGAAAGGCTTTGAGTCTAATTTTACATAAGTGTGAAACCAGACCTACACGTGCCACTACAATGTTGAGTTGTGTAAAAATATCCAGGTAGTTCCTGATTAATGTGGAACACAATCCTGAGTGGCTTCTGACCTTTCATTTTTTACCTTCTTCATCTAAACTGAATGAGAAAAGTTTACTTCAATCTACTTCAATGAGGTTCATTGACTGAAATTTTGTTTCCATTAGAAGAGGGGACAAAAATCTTGGTAGAACTTTTAGATACATGGCCTGGGGGACTTTAGGTCTTATGTTTCAATCATGGGTACTCAGTGGGTCAGTGGGACTAGAGTCCTTACTTTATCAGTTTTCCCAATCAGGTAAGGTCGAAAATTGGCTACTGTCCTCAATCTGATGCCTTGCTGGAGTACTTGACTGGTCGGGAAATAATGATCATGCATGCCAGACTATGGGGAGTCTCTGAGTCCCAGATTCACCTGTATGTGACCAACTGGTTGAATTCACTACAACTGGACACCCAGGCTGACAAGTTTATCTACACGTACAGGTGAGGCATATGCTGCTGCTCTTTTTGATAGTACTGCTAAGTACCCTCTATTTCTGATGTTTGAAATTAGTGCCTACGGCTCTGCTCAGCCCTTCTGCCACGTCACACAACTGCTTACTTGTGAAATTGTCTAGTGCCCTGCTCAGTTTGAGGTGACAGTAATAATTCATACCAATGATGCAGTTCCATATAGTCCTTTTGCAGAGAGAACACTTTTTTTAAAATCCTCTTCCCTGTTGAACTCAGAACTTATTTGAACCTCAGAGGTGAGCGTCTTCTTCCTAGCATTTGTCTCCCAAGTAAGGAGGATTGTGAGACCCTTTCAATCATGGTACTATGCACCCAGGAACCCAGGGCACGCTCAGAATGAGGGACTACATGCCCTTGGTGATGCTGTGAACGCTGTTCTATAAGTAAAAGCTGCTCTTCTACATTTTATCTGACAACCAATTACACGTCCACCCGTATTTGGGCTTGCGGTCTTGTTAAAGTCACTTCTCATCACAGTAGGTGCTTGCTGAGGTTCTGATTCTTTGGGTGGTGGTGTTGATTCTTTCCAGTAAGTAAATAATTTCTATAGCCCCCTCTTCTTCCACTTTTTCCCTAACTGTGGCCATGAAGTGGAGGAAACAAACGTAGACTGAGTACTGCTATTGCCTTAATGGGAAATCCCTCCGTCATCTTCCTGGATGAGCCATCAACGAGCCTGGACCCAGTAGCTCGGCGCCTTCTGTGGAATGTCATAGCACATAGACGGGAAACTGGCAAAGTCATTGTCATAACCTCCCACAGGTGAGGCTCATTGGGAGGCTTGGTTGAGGAGGGGCAGACGAAACAGTACAATCCTCGTACTGTTTGAACTACAGAATCTCCTCCAAAGGAGAACTTGTAGCCTGACATCATTCTGGTATCTTGTTTTGTTAGCATGGAGGAATGTGAAGCCCTTTGTACCAGGCTGGCCATTATGGCGAAGGGGAAATTCCTGTGTTTGGGCAGCCCTCAGCATCTCAAGAACAGGTTTGGCAATGTTTACATCTTGAAGGCCAAGATCAAGTCTGATCTAGATGATGATGCACTAGAAGATTTTAAAAATTTCATCTCAACAACCTTCCCAGGTAAATTAAGTCATGTGCTGGGGATATATTGTTATTATTATTGTTGTTGTTGTTTATCACCAACCATGAGTTTTCTTTAAAAAATCTTCAATAACTGTGTTCTGTAACTTAATGTTTTGTTTTGTTTTTAATCTTTGATACTGAATGCCTTTTGGAATACTGTCCCTGTGGACTTCGTGTATTTGGCTCTGCTAAGAAGTTTCACACAAAATGAAAGTATCACACCAAGCTCTGGTTTCAGCTAGCAAGCCAATTGTAGATTTAAGTTTTTACTAGGAATGTTATACTTGAAGTGATATATTTGCAATGTTTTCAGTCATACACACACACACACAAACCATCCCCCCATCCTGCCCCCCGCCATAACAAGCATATAATTCCTGTCTTTTGCTGTCTGAATCAGGATTTTGAAATGCAAACAAAAACCACTAAGTGTCTTCTTCTTCTTTCTACGATGGTTCTGCTTCAGCATTCTAAATTTGAGAAATACTGGTCTACCTACATAGTACAGGACCACAAACAAACAAAAATCATCCGACTGCCATACAATTCTATTGCAACCCAGCAACTCTATACAGGGTTTCTGAGGCTTTGTAAAGCTTTACAGGGGCAGACAGCCTTATGTTTCTCCTGAGAAGCATCTGGTGGACTTGAACCACCAACCTTGCAGTTAGCAGCCTAGCACCTACAGTACTACAGACAGCAGCTCATTCCTTCTGTCCCTTATCTCTCTCCCTCCTAAACGCAAAGCAGAGACATGTCAACACTTTTAATAAATCCGGGTTATCATCTTGCTCTCCCCTTTCGCTAGGCTGAATAAAATATCACAAAACCTTCCTGTTGTACGTCAGACGAACGAGCTGGACCTTGATCTTCCAGCAAATGAAAAATAGCCCTAGTGGTCTCACAGTATAAATGGAGAGCAGAAAATTGGGGAAATATGGATGAGAGACTAGATATGGAGGAGCAGATGTGAAGAAGAAATAATGATTATGATGTGCCCATGGTATGTGGAGATGGAAGCTGAATGTTTATCCAGTCGTTGGCAATGACTGTCCCTTTGCCGCACTCTGGTGACTTCGGGTTGCTGTGATGCCTGCGGTTATGATGCTAGAAGCTATGCTGCCAGCCCTTCAAATACCAGCAGAGTCACCCAAGGTGAATACGCTTCAGTGAATCTTCCATATTAAGGAACAGACTAGAAAGGAGGAATAAGCAACCCTTTTCTGAGGCGTTAGCTACAAAAACCCTTACACGTAGCAGAAGAACATTGTCTGATGTACTGCTGCAAGATGAGCCCCTCGGGTTTTTGAAGAGCTGCTGCTTCAGAGGAAAGTTGAGCTGAATGACAGAGAGCGCAAAGGTTTGGGGACCTTCACCTTCGGATGAGGCATAACAAACATCCATTAAATAAACAAAACATGGAATGTATGAAGTATTAATCTAGGAAAATTGAAGTCATCCAAAAAGAAATGGAATGCATAAAGATTGACGCCCTAGGCATTAGTGGGCTGAAATGAGAGGATATCAGCTACTTTAAATCAGGCTGTCATAGTTTACTGTGATTTACTATGCCAATGACAAATTCAAGAGGAATGAGGTCTTATCAAAAAGAACATTTCAAGATTTATATAGAAGTAAAATGTTGTATGTGATAGGAAAACATGTATACACTTACCAGGAAGACTATCTACAGCTATTACATTGATTTACTAACCACTGATGAAGAAGCTAAAGAATTGTACCAACCCTTTCAGCCTGAAACTGGTCAAACATTGTGTTTCGTCTGGGTAGACTAGAGAAACAAATGCATAGACACTCATATGTATACAAGAAAGAGCTTTATATAAAAGAGCAATTGTATATTGAGAAACATTCCAGCTCAATCCAGATGAAGTCCCCAAGTCCAATATTAGCCCATATGACCGATACCAATCTATAAAGCCCTCTGAAGACTCATGCAACACATGCAGTGATGCCAAATGCAGGAAGATCACAGGCCAGTGGGTGGAAAGTCTTGTGGATCCAGTGGCAGTAGAATCATCTCAGAGTTGACAGGGGTCTCCACGT